CCCCCCCCCCCCACACACACACACACACAGAGAGAGTATCATAAAGACATAAGAAGGATCATAAGGTCATGAAAGCATAAGAAGAATCGTAAGACACTGTGCCCTTAAAAATATTGACTAGTTTAGTGAAATTCAAGTTATGTTTTGTTTATGTTATGTTTACTATGCAGCTTATCTGCTGTAGGCTATCTATGCTGTGGAAATTCTCATTGATAATGAGTCTCTGAGAAATTCAATATCAACAATCAGGAAAACTTGTTACATAATGTATAATGAAATATTAAAGTGGGTGAGAGAAAGGTTCACTTAGTAATAACATTATGATTGGCAATTGCATGTAGTCTAGCTTGTTACAATACGACAAAGAAAGAAGTGACTGATAAATGATGATGAAGTACCAGCCAGTCAAGAGGAAAACATTTTACTCAAAATTTGTCTCTATTAATTGTAATTTCATGGAAAGAAATGACCTGCACAGTCTTCAGATATTCTCCTTCTGAGTCCGTCGTGTTTGGAACAACATGAGGGTGAGTAAATGATGACAGAATTTCCATTTTTTTTGGGTGAACTAGAGTTTATGTTCCTGATAATTGTGTCAAATAAACCTGTTGTTTTGAAATCATGATGCAAATGTGATGTGCAGATATTGCTTAATTAAAATCAGGTCTTCACTACTAAAGCACTTTAAAACAGATGGCTGCTGTCACATACTGCAAGCTAATTCTGTATTATTTAGAGAGCTTTTGACTTACTCATATGTAAAGCATGCTTTTATTTCTGAGGTGTGACCTGAATGTGCTTCATATAACCTATAAAACATACAACAGAAAAATGTTGTGGTTATAAGGAATGTTTTAAAGAATTATTTTTCAGAGAATATACACTTACTTGCAGCATGAGGCAAAACCACACTTGAAGAGGTGTGAGCCATTGCTACAGCATATATTTGACTGGTTTTTTTTAAATATACAGTATATGTTTTTAAATAAATGTTTTTATTCTTACAGAAAAACATTTTTGAGTGGAGGTTTGAGAGGCTTTTGTCAAGTTTAGTTGTCTAGTCTAGCCTAGTTTATACTATAATCTTGCCATTGTATACTACAAATATTGTTGCCTCTTAAGACAAATTACTTGTGATGCTCCTCATTTGTAAATTGCTTTGTTTAAACGTTTCTGCTAAATGACTAAATATAAAGACAATAAACAAAAGATGATTAATAAACAAATGAGCATAAATTAAGGTCAAAATAACTGAAGAGTTGTTGCACATCAGGCAGTGCGTCTCACAGTGTGTTTAATAAAATAATCCATTAGTCAACAATAATTATAAAGGCTTAAGCCAAAAATCACAGTAGTAACATGTCTATAGGTAGAATAATAGAGTTTCAGGAACTGAAAATACAGATAATTTACGGGTATTTCCCAAATACATCGAAAGGTAAAGAGGAATTGTACTTTAAACAATTGTCCTGGGAGTCATTTTACATTTTAGTCTAATTTTATTCCCCTAAATTTCAGTGTGTTTTGCATATTTAGAGACTGTTTTGAGGGGTGATTTCCTGCGGGACAGATTTTTTGACAGTGACAAGCATAAGCAATTTTCTGTACAAAAAAACTACTGCACATGAAAAATTCAAAACTCAGCTGCAATGTCTTCATTTCAACTTTTAAACCCTTGAAAACACATAAGGAAAAGCTTCTCTGATATTTTTTTGTCTTGTCTAGGAAAGTTGAAATTGAAGGAAGCTTTATTAAAGATTTTAATCTAAAACTTTACAGTAAATTACACCATTCTATCATGAGTGCTGTTCCCCTCCTGAGGACAGGCCTTAAGGGAAAGAATGTTTCTTTTTTTCTGGGTGTCAGTGCATGGGTGTATTTCACCACGGAGATAGAAGCATTATTAAACATTCATAATTAGTGTTATAAACATCACGGCAGGGAAGCCTGATGCTCTGCAACCGTCCGATGCATCTACAGGCTACAGTGGCATCACTCCAATGTTTTGTAAAATTCTTGTGCTTATTATAAAGCACAAAATATTCTTTTGATATTCAGATCTTGCCTCAAGTCAAATCATCATTCCAGATATATTCCATGGAACTAGGAGAAGAAATCTGATGCCTTGCTGCTTGTCAAAGATGTTTTCTGTTCCTATTTTTTTTACAGGTTGTTTTTCTTGCTAAATAATTTTAAAAGTTTTGTATTATTATTATTTTTTGCAAAATTGATTGTTGATTATTGTTAGGTAAAATGTCTTCATGTTTATTTCCAATCCATTTGATATCCAGACTAATCGATTAAATGTTTCTGGATATTTTGCACACTGATCAGGAGTTAAAAATAATCCTGGTACTTACACTGGATGATCCAAAGGTTCGCTTTCCACAGGCCTTCCACACCCAGTGACATCTGAACATGCCTGCAGTGATGACACATTTCTAATAACATAGGTAACTATTACGACATGGGTGTACCTCTTCTCTACAAAAAACCAAATGACTATAGATTCTATTATCCTTCATGAAATGGTGAAAGGTCACAGTTTTGTTTCATGTCACACCATAACCCATTTACATTTACTCATTGTCTGCAGTGTTTTAGCAATCACTGGCAGGTGAAAAAAAAAGTTGGAATCGCCTAGAGGAATTAGTGGACCCTAAAACAACAGGAATGGTTTGTGCGTCATTTCAGCTGTGCCAAGATATAATTGATGAATGTCATAATAATTGTTCTCAGCCCGTTAGAGCCTCATAGCTCTGTGATATGACAATGGAAAATTGCAAAATATCACTGTTGGAACATTGTATAACTCAAGGTGAAGTCACAACTGCTTTCAGGCAGGATCTTGTGGTCTCGTGGTCTTGGTCTCATATAAACATCTTGTTGTGGGTATGTGGGTCATTATTTACTAAATAATTTCCAACAAACTACAGATGATAATTATCTCAAGCACAGATTGGCACAATATCCTCACCATTTCACAAGACCTCTATGGCTTTGAACTACTTGGCTTCTGTACTATAAAATCAGCATTTCAGTTCATTGGAATATAAAGCCTGGTTTCATGGAATGAGAGGTCTTGGTCTGGATACTGTGGGTCTGGTATAAGGATCTAACTAAGCATTCAAAACTGGTTCCCCAAAGGTGAGACTTTATTCAAAATTATATATCGATGATCCACTCTTTTCTATGGTGGTTATGGCCCAGATGTGGTTTTAGTTTGGTTTGGGTGTAAGCCTTGAAAAAGTCTGATCTTAACTCCAACTGTGCTTTCTAGAGATAACAACTCTCACATAAAGCTGTGTACCCAAAAATATGAGTTTTATGCCAAATTGTGTGGTACAACAGCAGAGTCAAACCACGACCAGGATTTGAAAAAAACTTAAGAAGGTGCACTGGTGCCACCTGCTGTCCAAAACGTATTGCAAAGTGTACAATTATATA